AGAGATAAGCAAATAAACAGAGTGATCATGAAAGATTTGGAAGTGTAGACTAGAGGTTCGTAATGTAACTTGGTTCTTACTTTGTTTCTGCAACAAATTATTCACTTAAATTTCACAAGAGTGAAGTCAAATCAGTCCCCTTCACAGTATTCCACTGGTCAATTATCTCCTCAAGTATGTATTGTATCCACCATTCAGGAAATACGTCTGCCTGGACATGGACAATGTAGCAGTATCGTGCGCTCGAGCAAATCATAGAGCTTTTTCTTTACATAAAGTCTCAGACGTGTGGAAATATAAATAGACATACCATTCAGCCTTCGTTTGGTTTTTCACTTCAGCTCACATGCGTGCTGGAATGGGTGCCCGTCGTGGCTTCATCTGTCGAATGCGCATGGGTTCAGCTATGCTTCCGAACACCAATCATGTCGAACTGGGCGGTTTGGGATCCTCTCCTCTTGGCACGAGGGCTCGAATTCGTCATCGTCAAGCATTTGGACCACCATGTTCATCTAATTCACAACCGTCTTATGCCTTGATCCATGTAACGGGCTTTGTAAAACCCATCACCTCCATGCACAATTCGAAGCCTGATATTCAATTGGTGAATGGTCAGAGCGCAACTACGCAGCCTTACTCTTTGTTTGGTATGTTTGTTTCACCATTTGTTTGATTTTTGATTTTCTTATCCTTTCATCCATTGAACTCGTTGTGTGTTACCGTCATAGGGGATCACGAAATGGACCATCACAAGAATTACTTTTATCCGAAGGAGAAGCGGCTCGTATTCTTCACTAATCCATCAAACGGAATTACGATTGCATTATAATCGCGAGGTATCGCCAATTTTTCCAGATCAATAATCCACCATCCTGATAGTTTTCTTTGCGGTTATTCATTTTATACTGGCTCCTCAATGTGCACGATGGTTTGTGTGATCTAGTCTCCCTTGATTATTTCAGTAATCTTACCAGTCAGTTCATCGCTGCACCTGTCGTGCCCGATATTAATTACAGCGATGTTGCAAATTTTCGTGTTACTATCATCTTCATCAAACTGGCTTTCGTTTCTACTCCAATTTGATCTTTTCGTCAGAAATGATTGTGTATTTGTTTGCGCTCACGTTCACAACCGTGTACTGCTTACACACGGTTTGTCATCTATCTGCTCTCCCCGAGTAGAAGCTAACCTACAAAAACGTAAACTAACGGACACATCTCCCAGGTCTCAGTTCGTTGCAACCTGTCTGCAGCACATGGTTGTCTTCTCATTTCTACATGCCTGCTACTCGTGGTCACCTTTTGCTTTACCACGTGTTCCCCATCGACGTGTGTGTCTGTGCATGTAACCCTATTCGCCTGCGATGCCCCATCCACGCCCTCGTTCCTACTTAGGCGTGCACATGACTGCCTCACTTTGCTAGTAGCTCATCGCTCTATCAGCCATTCGCATTCACCCACAACCTGACAACCGAATCAATCCAAAAAACAACCGCGAAATTTCTTCTCAACCATCGCTCGCGTCTCCCCGTTCTACGGATACGAAAAATGGGCAAAGTAGACAACTCCTTTGAGTGTGCATTGTGCGGTTTTATTAACCCTCACCGCGAAAATTGAAGCAGGGTTGTACGTACTGGTTTTCTTTCGATGCGTTGCATTTGTTGTCACTCACTCTCAACCATCAATCTTTGCCTGGGTTTATGTGTATAATTCGTTCAGTTTTAAGCTTCAAAGAATCCCACCCATACATTTACCATAGCTTCTTATTTAAATAAAGTCTTCATACTAAGTAAACTACGCTGAGCCGCTTTCCCTCAGTGTACTAAAATTACAAAAATGGGACAGTTACTACCGATGTTTAAATGGTCGAGGCATTCTGATTAGTTGGCTTGTAACTGGTATCTAGAGTGTCTTACGTGTATTCATTTTTCATCTCCCATGTTTGATAACGAAACCTTCAGGCGATATTCGATTGCCATGCTTTTGTTGTATGTCTGCTTGCATGTTGTATCCATGATTCACTTAGTTGTACGTAGCCGAATACATGTCTGAATGTTTCGGCCAGATTTTTTTATGACGCGTTTACTTGTTGCGTGCAAAAATTAAAAAAACTGCTTGTGTATAAACCCTTGTGTAGGCGTTTTTGGGCAACTTCTTCCAGCGGACTACCACACCATCCTTATCGGAACCCCGTATGGTTCATCACTTTAATTTTCTGGGCACAAGCCGGTGATCATTTTCATCATACAATACATGGGGCTTACGAATTCGGAAATGCACCATTACTATGTAACCAAAATACCTCGATGTATCAATGACACACTACGTCGCTGAGCACTCCTTTCGCTATCCATTTTTTCGTTCAAGTGCACTTCATCACCAGCCAAGAGTACTGACTTTCAGTCTCCCTTATCAAACTTGATACATCTATCTATAGCTTGTCTCGGAATTATGGTGTTTACCCATTTTTCTTATAACTCACATTATTGTGTAGTATAAATAACCTTTTTCTTATCACAGTTGGATAATGTCTTCTGTTTTGCTTATCCCCATGCCTATCAGGACTATTTTAAAGCCGAAACCACAAACGTTTCCTATTGTTACCGTTTCCTCTTTATGTTCCTCTCAGAAATTGCCTTACATTACAGAAATATTGCTGCTGTAAATCAAGTTTACATTTAACAACTATTGTTAGTCCATAGTATTACGTTGGAGAAGTAAATTTCGATTTTCTGAGGCTCAAATACTACGAATCATAGACTTTAATGCCAAGTAGTGCTTAGCATTCATCTTTTACAGTAAAATTCAGCCGACAATCATGCTATATTACTCCCTTTCCGAAATTCAAGTTCGTAATGTTTTCGATCGAGAAGATGAGTGGTAGTTATATAGATTAATAAGAGCCCTTGAAATGAGTACTTACTTTACTGCGGCTTGCTCCTTGGAGAGGATGAGCCAGCTCTATGGTGTTCATGGAGTTTCATGGGAGTTTGGTACGATAAACATCCCCAGCGTCACTCGGCGTTTTGTTTCGAGGGCACACCTTTAACCTTTGCACAGACACGTGCGCACTGCAGGGCAGCGGTGTGTTGCTTCATAGTTGCCGGTGGCTCCGTAGTAGCTCATTCGCTGTTGGATACATATTTCTGCAACCTGGGGGTCTTCATCTCCGTTAGTTGAACAAGTTTCCTTCATAGTCATTAGATCAGACAGTAGATCTCGTCCACCTGTTCAGGAGTGGTTATCTTCGCATGCCGTACACCGTCTCACCAAGGCTTTTATACCTCGGTTCCCCTCAACCTGGTTTAGCCTGTCTGTCGAGGGGCTTGCCGGGATTTGGTCGCTGTTGCGTGCTTCAACTTCATGGAGCCTCAGGTAGGTTGGACATATAATGGAAACCAAAGAGGAGAGGAATGCTCTCAAGGAAATACGACAAAGCTAATCCTATCAGATACCCCATACATACATCTTTGATGAGTGACATAAAATGACACCGATTTGCATCCAAATACACCGTATAATATGAGTCGTCTGAAATGGTTCTTGCGTATTTGCTTCCTCTTTGTGTCCACATGGCTTTTTCATACGTTTTGGCCTTCTGTATGTCGTTAAAACAAAGTGAAATGTTAACGTGTAGACGGAGTTGAATCCAGCTTCGTCGATCAATTCCAAAAATTTAATAGTGCCCTCAATATAGTCTTTCGTAATCAGCTGCTTTACCCTCCGCTGTAGATAACTTAATTTTTCTGTTGGAACCACTGTGTTTATCAATTATATTTTCCCAGATGGTCTCGTTCCAGAGGATGGAGAGTTCGGTGCGGTCGGTCATGATACTGGTGGTTCTGTTGGACTTTCCGACTCCGATAAGTCTGTCGATCCTCAGGTTCCACATTGTCTGGTCGCACTTGGCAGACTTCAGATCACCAGTCGCCCTGACGCCTCCGACCTGTCTCCGCTCCGATCCCAAGAGTTCGTCACACGACATAGTCTAGACGGACGAGTGACTTTTTGTGATCAACGTGTACAAAACGTTTTGGGGATCAGCACCGAAGAACTTTTGGGCCAAGCATTTATAGATCGCATCCCTTCTGCGAAAGACAAAACTGCCTTTCAAGAGGTATTCGACCGAGGTTAGTTATTTCTGCTGCAATGCCAGTCATCAGTAAACTTCGTGTCACCTTCCTTCGTGTCACTTCCTTTCCGTGCTCTCTTTGCACGTGCCGGGCAAGGCTGGAAGAAGCGGCGCGGCGGTCAGACCATGACATGGGCTAGAGGCATGAAGAAGCTGGCTTCAGCTTTGGCTTCGGTTGGTGCAGCCCGCCTTCCAGGTTGGGGCCCAAGGGATGAGGGTTGTCTATGGTTAGAGACGCTGAGAGATATGGCGCAGAATAGAAGTCAGTGGCGCGAATGCTGTACGATCTGTCTATCGAAATCCCGTGCCCATTAAGAAAAACGAAACATCAAACAACAAAAAAATTGCAAAAGGTGTACGGTGAAACACACAAAAAAATTCTGTTATCTTGTATTTTCCATGTTTAACTGTCTCACCCACTTTTCACCATGTTCTGTATCCTAATCCACCTATCCCCTTCACTGTCATTGTTGTTGCGTTGGCACCATGCTTGTTTTCAAGCCGGTGGTAAATATATATATGTCACAATACTCTGTTTAACGCCCGAGAGCGCCCGTTGATCAGATTTTCCACTGACCATTTTATGAGATATTGCATTCTGACTGGTGGCTTTGAGGATGCAAACGGTAGTTCGGAAACTATTGTGCTACGAAGTCAAGATAAATTACGAAATTTTTATGCGTCAATTTTAGAAACAATAAGTTGTTATGTTCAACTTTTACATACTCTAACTCAGTTATTCACGCATGTAGAACGGATATGTAAAGAAACTCCTTTAGAGAGCACGGTAATTAGTGGCAATTCGTTTGGGGAACGCAGTCAACCGGTAATAGGTGTACTATTCATACCAAAGATACTGGTTGCCGATGTGATTTCGTCCATTAGCTGTCAGAGTGCACACCATCAACATGCGGCGTTCCTTTGCGGTTCACCAGAAGCTCCAATTTTTCGATGTGAGTCAGACGTCTGCAAAAAGCTTAGAAAATCTGTCTGTTCCGATGATTGGTTGAACGGAACTAATGACTGGGTTGCGATTATTTTGTAACCGATGTCAAGGGTAAATCTACCGAAAGAAATTGGAGTGAATGTGACATTCCAGTCACTGCAGCATATCCTTGTGTGAATACGTTACACTGCGTGAAACCTTTTCCCTTTATCCATTTAATGACTTTGTAGCAATCAACGAAATTCATTTTTCTGTATTTCGCCGTACGATGATGATATTGATCCAGTTAATGTTTTGTTGATGAAGTTACAGTACATTAGTTTCATTAAATAGGTTTGCGTAAGCAGCTGTGTGAAAGTGCGTTGTTTTAGTGATCTGTTATTGTTCTGTGAAGATAGAAACAACCCTGACTATATAGAAAGTTGTATCAACTTGATAATTTCAATGTTTAGGGCACTGATAAAGTCTAAGAACAACCTCCTGTCGAGGCGATAAATGCTTTACTTGTTGGGCCGAAAAACGTTAACTGTGTTTCATGAGAAGCTTATAAAACATCTGTATTGACGAAAACTTCTCTACCAGTACGTTTCTTTTCGGATTTCCTTCATTTTAGCCTGGAAGTTCAAAGGGGAACTTTTCACCTTGGTAGTGAAAATGGAAAGTCAGGCCTCCATGGAGCCGGTAGCTGTCCGTTGCAATTTATTCTCGTTTGCAAATCCGTTCAATGATGAAGTGGAATACGTAGTGTGCACCTCGACTTCAATGAAGTGAGTGATTTAATCCAAATTCTCTACATTGCGTTTAATTTATTCACGCCACAATGTGTATTTCTATTTCAGAAGTCATCTCTAAAAACGGTTACTGATGTAACTGAAATTTGTATCGATAGTGAAGGTCATGCATTCGTTTTCTTGTCATCTGTCCTCCAATCACCGTTGTCTGAGACTCCAGTCCCCATTTTGACACGCGTATAATATTGAAAGTTACCAACCACCTGGGTTTTTCGGTGGACGAAGTGGTTCCTCTGCGTTCCTCTGGGTTGGTGATATATACACTTATTTAGTCTACGCAGATCACGAGTATAAAAGATGCAGCATTACTGGCAGATTAGAGCGGTACTATTGGTAAAGTTGAGCACATTGTCAACAAGGATTGTTGTATCCAATCAAATGGGGCCATCCAATTTCAAAGCTTTTTCATAGACCAATTAAGAATTCCTCGGCAACATTCTTATTGCATTGACTAATCTAATTTACCAAAGTTTTGATGGCCCTGAGGCACGGTAGGGAGCTGGGTAATATGTCTTGTGAAAGATACTCGCTGTGACTACCAAATGTCGATCATTTCGGTTACAGATTTTACGAAAAAAAACATGCATTTTTATGCGCAGACTTTGGCTGCTCAGTTGGATGAAAGCAGAATAAAAATTGGAATGTTGCGAGCAGAGTCATAGAGAATTCATATAGACTGGAGGTGCAAGAATAATAACTAGATGCACCAGCGCCACTGTTTGAAACACTCAGTGTCTCTAACCGTCAGTTACCATCCAGGAAAACCTAACGGGATCTATTTGACCCAGGTTGTGGTTTTCATATCCTTATATCATGTCTGAGTTTGACCACCTTTGAAATTTTTCCATCCGTTGCCTGCCTCGGCAAACATCACGCACCATGTCAACCTATTTGGTGACATACCCAACACACGTCCGAACCATTGTAGTCTAAGGAAGTCGACCACTTGTTCCAGTAGACAACTGCGATTACCTTAAACTCTGCGCCTAACTTCAGTACCGCATGTCCGGTTTCCCCACCAGAGTCCTGCAATGCGGCGTAGCCAAAAAACAGCAACCAAAACCGGTGCACGACGGTGCA